AAATTAACATGCCTACCAGAGTCGAACTCGAAGGCAAATCACCCCTTCGAGCGCATGCAAAGAAAAATCTAAGGGGGAAAAAGAGGAGGTACAAAACAGATACAAGGCAAATAACGGAAAGGAGATCTCATTTGTCCACGAAATTAATTGCGGGTCATCCCCGCTTACACCCGGCCAAGGCCGATCAATACAAGGAAAGAGAAAAAAAAACAAGAAACACCTAAACGCCAAACGGCGAACAAGACAAGAAAAAATGCATATCTTTTTACTCGGCGCCATCCGCGCCACCATCTACACTAGCGTCAGCCTCTGGCGTCGCCGCGTCAAAACCACAGTCGGTACGAGCCTCACGAGCCTTTTGACATGCTCCCTCGAAAGCAGCTTCGGTCACGATGCCGGCCTCCCACAAATTCTTATATACATCACGTTGGGCCTCGGCAAAGCCCAAAGTTCGCGAGCCTGGCTGGAAGAAGCGGCTTGGTCCCGTAGGCGCTGATTCTCTTCTTCTAAGGCTATGATCCGGTCCGCCATGACTTGGGCGTCCTGCTCAAAGACACCGATCCGCTCCTCGAGACTCGCTTCTCTAAAGGCCGCAGCAGCCCTCTCCAATGCCCGTTGGGACTCGTGCACGCGGATAGCTTCCTTCAACGCCCCAGCCCTCGACGAGGCATCCCTCACTTGAAGCTTCAACACTGCGACTTCACCCTCCAACGCACTCACTTTCCCGCTCCATGCCGCAGCGGCCTCCGCCGCCTTAGCCCGGCCCTGGCGCTCACACTCAGCTGCAGCCCTCTTTCCCGCCTCGAGCTCCTCATCCTTCCGACGAAGCTGCTCCTCGAGAGCACTCGTTCTGCCAAGTGTTTGCTGCACCTGAAGCTCTCGCCTCGCCAGTTCCTCGACCAAGGCCCGGCTACGGGGATCATTCCTCAAGCGCACGCGTATCTCTCGGCACCGATCTCGATAGCGGCGGTACTTCTCCAGCACCCGCAAAAATATCCCCGAGCGGACGTTGGCTCGACGGATGCTCTCCACCTCCAACAAATAAGATTGCAAAGCAAAGACAACGATTAAGATAAAGAACAAACTAAGACGAAGAAGAGGCGAACCGACGTCATATTACATACCCTCAAGCCCATCACAGCTACTTCATTCATCAGTCCGATATTCGTAACGTCCCTCAACGATGCATTCTCGGCCTCCGAGCATAGCAGCTCGAACTGCGGCACCAAGTTTTCCCCTTGGAGCAATAAGTTCAACTCCGTGGGAACCTCGATGAAGCGAGATCGCCCCTCTGCGTGCACCGCTGAATTGGTGATGCCCTCCTGGAACATACGGACGTCGTCGGGGTCCAAGTCAGATTCGGACTCGTACTCATCTCCTACAACATCCCTTCCTCCTTCCGCCACCAGAGAGGTCGAACCACCCGCCGTAACCACCGAAGGAGCGCTTAACTCACCAACATTAGCAGCCGCTGAGGAACTACCTCCCGTCTCAGCGACGGGAACCTCCAACTGAGTCACCGAAGCGACGGTATCATCATGGCCCAAGCCAACCGGAGCAACCCCCATTGTCTGTCCACCCTCAAGAGCAGGCGCCGCGACCGCACCCCTGTACGGGACGGGGGGGGGGGGGAGTCCAAATTAATTACCACAGGAGGAGCCGGCGTGAATGCGACCCTGCGCCTTATCAATGGCCTCTCTTCCTCCCCATTTGATGGTGATTCCGCTCTAGAGCGCACAACCCCCGATGGTCCCTCGTCCCGAAGTGCGGCCCGCGCTGGAGAAGGAGACGCCGAAGACTCAACTGACGCCGCCCTCGGTACTGGGTGCGACACCGGTGCTGCAGTGAGCCGAGCAATCGCACCCGGCTGACGAAAGGCCAACTGAGGGGCCCTAACGCGGCGTGCCCTCCCTAATCACAGAAAAACAAAGTTGATGAATAGAGTTGAAACAAAGCGGAGCAGAAGAAGAAATCAATTTTTTACCTGCCACAGGCCTACGGCCATGCCTCTCCCAGAAAGACGCCCATGTGCGTATCCCCACCGTATGGGGGAGCACGGCCTCAACCCACTTACGAATCCCAGCCAACGGAGCCGGCGGCAACTTTTCGGCTACAAAATTGATACGAGTTAACGTTTATGAGCACAAGACGTAAGGAGGGGCAGAAAAGGGAATTCGACGATTAAGGAACTTACGTGCATGATTCCAAGCCTCTGGGAATCCAGTAGAGCACGCCACTAAATGTTCAGTCCTGATGTATAAGAAGTGCTCGAAAGGGCGAGAGTCGACCTCATCATCCAGTTTCACAGTCAGGCCCCTCGTCCCGCGAGGGTACGCTCGAATCATGGTACCACGAAGTCTCTAGGGAGCGTAGAGGCTAAGCACATGCTGCAGCGTGACCTCCCTACCGGCCAGTTCTGCATATTTGATAAGCATTGCTAATAATTTGTAAAGAGAAGGAGCAAGCTGACCCGAGCATACCCCGTAATAACGACAGAAATCAACCACTAGCATTGGGAGCGGGAGCTTAAACCCCAACTTGAAGGGATAGGCGTAAAAGACGCAGTATCCCCTGCGATCGGTGTGGACCCTCTCCTCGCTTCTAGCGAGAACGACGTTAGCATAGCTGGGGATGACCCCCTATCCCCGTAGTTGGGCCATCCCAATCTCCCCCATTAACGGGGCTTCATCCACCTGATCCTCCCCACCATCGGCGGTGAAATCAGTCATCGGACCTCCGGGCAGAGATACTATCTCGTCAACCGATGGAGCTTCATCGGTCTCCACCAGTTCTGCACCGCCCATTGCCTGAGATGGCCCTTCAGTCATCGGAGAGTTAACCGGAAGATCCGTCGGAAGAACGTTTTGGGAAGAACTGCCTGCCATTGTTGATTCAATAATGAAACAGAAACAAAGTTTGATGGACAAGATAGAAGTTATAACGATCGAAGAACCAAGATGAAAGTGAATTAGCAGTAAGAAAAGCTTCTTCAGAATCTCTCTCAGACAAACAACGAAAATATGAGAAGTAAATGCCTCAGCCCTTATTTATAGGCAACACAAGTGGCTTTCACGAACCCCAATAGCCACCATTAACTACATGACCAACTGCACACCGGTTCGATTCTACAGAAACGTGCGTCATTATGACAAGCTCCATGAAGCATCTTTTCAGCCGCCAACCGGCGTCTCGCCCTCGAAATGGTTGTAACGACCTATGAACGCTGAGGAGATATTCCGCGCGCCCTCAAATTTTGGACGTCGCCAAACACGTATCAAGCGTGCCCTTACTCCCCTCGGCCGCACAACATACGACCCATCCGCCATGGTCGACGGGTATGCTCCCAAACAAACGTAAGGATCAGAGCACAACAAAGCTCGACCTCACTCGAATTAAGTTAAAGGGTCAAGTGCCTTTGCCAAGGAGGAGAGTCCAACCTCGATCGAACGGCGACTTGATAACACAATAACAAAACACTGACTCTCTACAAGGCTAAGGGTCATCGCCAAAGAGAATTCGGCCTCGACCGAAGCGACAGTCGACCTCCCTATCCGAGTTTCTCAAACTACAGTCGATGAAATCCACTCATCGAGCTCGGCCAAGGCACGACCTCAATAAGCGGAGGGACTAACTGTATGGGTCAGAATCCGACCCCACGATAATTAACGAAGTTAATCCCTTCTTAAGCTAATTCATGATTGATTAGTGGTACGACCACTCAGAATTAGTGGTATTCAACCCTTATCTGATTCGATCAACAAGGCCACGGCCTGTCCGTTATCATGAAGGCGAAACCCCAACGTGGTCACGACCACTTATTGCCAGCTCACGAAGCTCACAGCTATAAATACCAAGAGAGGAAACCCTAGAAATGGGGGCTTCTTCTTCTTTACTATTCAAGAGAGAGAGAGAAAGAGATAACGATACACACATTATGGGAAAGTGGAACATCATTGTAAGGCTCTGAACCTCTTCATAGAGAGGCAGACCAAAGCAATACTATCAATAAAAGCTTTTAATGTCTCTCTTCCTAACGCTGAGTACTTATTTGCGCATCTTTCATTTGGTCTAATGGATTATTACGATTTGCTATGATTTTCCCGTAATTTATTTATATTATTTACACTCATAAGGTATATGATAACTTTTGAGCAAACACATGCTTTTTCCAAGTACCCCAAAATCTCCCTGTGTTGTATTTTTGGAATGCAAAAGATTGGCTACTAGCTCCTAGAAAATGATGAACTAAGATATGCATGTGTTGTACTGAAGATACAAATAATATATGTATTTTTTTGGTGCATGATATGTATGTGATACTTAACTTTGGATGGTTCCACTAGATCATATACTTATGGTATATCAAAGGATGCTGTTAAGCACATATTCAGTGCCCTCTACTTTTTTGTGGTCTTCATTGTGGTGATTGCTTTTTTATATTTAGGTATTGAGGAACATGAAGGTGATTGGCTAAGAAGAGTTACTGTGAGTTAGATATTATAACTCATATTTTTTTTTTTAAAAAAAAGGTTAGTTATAATAACCCCATTACTTTTGTCATACCATATTGACTTATATATCCAATTTCTGTACAATTAGTTATCATCAAATTTTTATGCCCGTGTGAGATTTATATACTCTATACATCATCACCAAAGCCATGCCCATGTTGGGGCCGTGCTCAAGCACGAGCTTATATATATCTCGAAAAGTGTTTTTGAGAAAAATACACTTACAAGCACTTTTCAAAAGATTGGTCAAACACTAATTGTAATTGCTTATCACCAAAATTATTATTTTTAATTTTTTTTTTCAAAATAAATAAATTTTTGAAGCTTGGCTAAACATGCTATAAGTGAGATGGTGGGGAAAAAGATGGGGAAGACAAAAAAAGAAGGAAAAGAAGGCAAGTTGCTAAAGGAATGATGCGCTAGCCCTACATCTAATAGGTTGATTCCTTTATTCAAATACCTAAAAGCCCCCTCATAATCTCCCATTGACACTTCAGCCAAAGAGGGTAAAACAGTAAAAACATAACTTTTATTCCCACCCCAATAATTCCACGGTTGTACACCAATGTTATAAATTTATGCGACTGTCCAGAAATTTTTAACAAAAGAGCTGTGTGGGTTAGGAGAAGGTATTTCCATTCTCTAATTAAGCGATAATCAGATCCAAACTCTTAACCCTAGAAAATCAACCATGTCTTCTAAGCAAGGTACTCTTCTTAATCTCCCTTTTCTTCTCTTCTTTTACTTTTAATCGCCTTTTCTATAATTAATAAAATTTCAAAGATTTGATTTTTGATTATTTTTTACATATAGCTGACCCAATTAATTTGGGGTTGAGGTGTGGTTGGTTGATTGATTTTGTCGAAGAAAGGCTAAGAACTGAATTGATTTTCTAACTGATTTTTCTTTTTGTGGAACAGGTGGAAAGGCAAAGCCTTTGAAGGCCCCAAAGAGTGAAAAGAAGGAATACGACGAGGTAATTTAGTGGATGATTTTGTTTTTTTATTTTATTTTATTTCTGCGTCCATCCTGTCACTTATTTTGCAGATCTCGTGTTTTGACTACAATCCGTCTGTCCAACATATTGTTTATTTTATGTCTTGAATTTCGTGTCGAGAAACTTTGATTCAAATAGAGGTAATAGTGATTTGAACTCTCAATTTGGGTAGATATGTAGTCTGTACTTATGAGTGATGCATCCTTTGAATTGGAACAAAGGATTGTATACCCGACCCCCAACTTATTTGGGATTGAGACTTAGCTGATTGATATGCCCGTTTGTGCTATCAGCTGATTTTTTTCTCTCTTTTTTGAGGGTGGGGGGTGGGGGGAATAAGGTTTTAGTCATGTTAACATTTTTACTTCACATCCTATGCTGTTATATAGCCTATGTAATATAGGAGTTGTTTTAGCCTTTCAAAGATTTATACATCCCTAAAAAATATAAAGAACTTTTAGTACTTTTTTTTAATAGTATTGGCAACATGGTCAGTGAGGATTCTTATTGCTGGCCCCAACTTGTTTGGATGGCTTAGCTGTTGCTGTTCAGTTGTTGTTTTTTTTGTTGGGATAAGCGACCAGAATTATTTCATTGATGGCAAAAACCAGCACCAAGATACTGCTGGACAATTTTTAGCAAGATATGTGCAAGCTAAGGTCTTAGAATTTAAGGTTTTACTTATGCCTCGGGCCTATAGATAGCAAGGCGGAGGTTGGGTTAGGCATCCAGTCTACATGCAGAAAACATGCCTGTTAGAGACGTATGACTATTTTTTGCATGTAATGCGGGTATACTTTGTAGCTGCATGAAAAAGTTCTTAATTGTTTCTGGAAGCACTTTGAAAATGGAAAAGAGATCTAAGGAGGAAAGGGAACATTGAAGAAACAAAGGAAAAAAAGAAGCAAATTTATGCGGGTTGCAAGTGGTACAGAGAGGTTACAACATTATTTTTGTTGATGTGGGTGTGGGGTAGGGTGAGCGGAATCATTAAAGGATTTCTTTTTGTTTGGCGGAAATAATTAAAAGATTCATACAGTCGAGCCAACTGGTTTCTAGTTGAGTCGTAGTTGATTGATGGGCACATGGCAGTGTTGATAATGTCCTCTATAGTTCTACCCCTATTCATACATATCTAGGTCAGTGAAGCTAGTGAAGATTGTTATGCATTATTTGGCTCTTTTGAGGAAGATATATTTAGATGGTCACCTTCAGAGATTCTCTACTAGTCAGGATAATATTTGCTATCTCTTCTATGAAGAAGTGCAATCAGGTGACTAATAATGAAACGTTTGTTATTATTGGTCATGTTTCATCCTCAGAATTTGGTATCCACTGTAGTAAGTATTTGTCTCTGGTGTATGAGCTTCCATGTGATGTTTGCTGCTCTCTCTAATTGTATGTGTTCGATTTATCTGCAGAATGACAAGGCTTTCCTTGCAAAGAAGAAGGAAGAGGAAAAGGTAAACTCATTCTTCCAGTGCTTGCAGCCTGTGGATACACCAATCATTCTGATTCAATTAACTCTTTATTTTTGTGATTTTGCAGGCACTAAAGGAGCTCAAGGCAAAGGCTGCGAAAGGCTCCATTGGTGGTGCTGGCCTGAAAAAGAGCGGAAAGAAATGAGAATGTTATATTCTTCCTCCTAGTATTGGGATCTTCTTTTCTCGCCCATGGCTAGATTTGGTGTTATAAGCTTTTGTTAACTTTTGGGATGTCTCTATGGTGACTCAATGAATTAGTATGGGGTACTTGCTCCTTTCCAATATAATGACTTGTATTGTGGTGCCTTTCCCTATCAATAATTCATATAGTCGTTAATCTTTGTGTGACATGCTGACTCACTCTAACATAATTTCGACCTCCCCGTAACCCCCCAGAAAAGTATTAAGAGGAAAGAACAAAATTCAGGTTTTCCATTACTTTTATTGCAGATTTGGCAAGTTTTTGCATGTTTTAAATTTGAGATTGTCTTGTGCGTTGTTTGCGATATATCATTCTGGGTCGAAACCAGAAGAGTGATTTTGTGGTTGGCTAGGGAATTTGTGATCAACATGGCCAAAACCCTCCCCTGAGAAAAATGTAAGGCAAGTCAATCATTTAGCCATCTACATTTAGCTTGTCAAATGAGCATAGGGAACCACAACGTAAGGATTTGGTGTCAGATCCATAAATGGATTGAGAGCTATCAAAATTCAAAGGAACAAGTATTTTTCTCGGTGCGTACAACGACTGTAAGATGATTAGATGAAGCTATGGTTGAAGCATTAACTTAGGGATGCCTTTGTTGGGAAATAGAGAGGTGAGCTGAGTATCTCCAGGGGTTAATCCACTAATAGAAGTCTGATTTTTAATCAGAACGTCTAATTCATTCTCGACCTCAACACAGATTGATATTAGTTCGGTAAACACATTCTCTATAGGTTAGAGAGTAAACAGTGAATCTTGTCAATTAATATGTTATGCCTCTATGCTGAGCTATACTTTAACTAATATGAACTTTTTGTATCCATTCTGCTTCCTTTGTGTTCATTTCATTTCAGCACTTTAATAATTTGTCTTTAAAACGAGTCATTGCTTTGGCATGGCGATTCAATTAAGCTTATCTTCATTGACCTCCAACTATAGTGTTCCAACATTGTTGGCAACGGGATAATGAGTAAAATATTCTGCACCCATCATGATTTTCTGCCTCTGGGATGCACATCAAGGAGACTTCTGAAGAAGAAAAGAGAATCCTACACATAAGTCCTTCGTAAAATCCCTGAACAAAACCTTTACAATGATTATTAACAAAGAAAAAATAAAAAACTTTCTTTACAGTTTTCCTTAAATTGCATAACCAACATTTTGGAAATTGATACATCTATTCTATTTTGAGTTCTCCAAACTTCCCCTTCTCCTCGTGCAATGCGTTAAATACAGAAGTCAGCTCTGGGAACGCGGACAACAGTAGTAACTCAAGAAGATCAAGGACAAACTGCTTTATACACACGGATGACTGTACAAGAAACAAGTCCCTAAATTAGTTGTTATTATTTAGAAAAAGCCAAAAACAGAAACAAAGATGAAAAAGGACTTCTAAAGGCTATCAATCACAAAAGGAAAAAAGAAATAATCTCATAAGTAGTTCTAAATGCACTGCGGGAAAAATCACCTGGATGAAGTAATAAAGATCCTTTGCACATTGTTCATATTCCTTGTGACCAACAAGCCCTACAATAGCAGCTGGTGCCTTATCTGCAAATGATATAGGAGTCAAACAGTTGCAGAGTAGAGATATGGATTATGATCAAGTGTTGGAATGTGTATAGCCAACAGAACATGGTAAATTAGAACAACCCACCAATCATTAGCTCATAAACAAGTTTTGCACGTCGTTGTGCTTCCTGCTGTTGCATCTCATCCAGCTTCAGTGAATCCTCCACCGAAGGTGAACTTAATGGAGTGGAAACTTGGCCTTGAGGAGAATTAGGGGATGGAGAGGGTCCAGGACGTTGTCGTGTCGGGTGCTTTGTGATGAATATACCATCTGGCCAGAGAATCTACATGGAGCACAAAGTTAAAATAGGTAGTACTAAATCCGACATTGGTAGGATATTAGTCTCAATGAACAACTTCTTTCGTTTGAATGCATATGTGCAAAATACAGCAATAAAGTTCAGGGATAACTGATGGCTGCGCATACTAACTGCCCCACCCCCACTCCAAAAAAGGGAATAAAAAACACAGAGCACGATCAGAAAAGAATAAAAAATGGACAAAAGAATTTCTCGAATTAAGAAATGTTGGAGGAATTCTAGAGGTAATGGCATTAATTCAGTGAGCTACAATAAATACTAGTCCACATGCAAATCGAATTGTCATTAGCATCTGTCTTTCAGAAAAAATAAACAAATACGTTAGGACACTTGAAAATTACCTGTTCAACACATCTGATACCTGCAGCAACAACTGAACCCCTGCGCAGACGCTGGATTTTCTCAATCAGCCAATCATCAAATGCATCACCCATTCCCAATTGTAAAACCTGTTTAGCCACCCAGAACGCCTTCCTCCTAAAATGCACACAAGTCAATAGGTCCAGTGAAGTCCATGACACAAGTGCATTTAAAATCAAGTCCAACAGCTTAATTTGTTAGTTGCATAAGTAAATGATACCTGATCCATCCACCATCTTGAAGCTGAAAAATGACGTCAACAAGATCTAATATAGGCACGCTTAAATTTGGTGGCACCCACTACAGTGAAACAAAAATGAGGTTTAGAGCCAATTTAGATAATTATCAGGCTAAAACCGCTTTCAACTCACTACTAGGAAAATATATCAAATATAAAGAGCATCCTTAAATAAAATAGCGTTCTTATCTTTCCATAATCAATTTGAATCATAAGAAATCTATTCTTTAGAGTTCAATAGTGAAAGGATATATATGCTGAGCAAATTAGACAAGTCGCTAGTGACTACCTCACTGGGAAAGGCGGGATCAATGGGAACATCAACGAGAGATTCAGGTGATGCATGTGAGTTAGTTTCAACTGGTTTTGATGACGTCTGCATGTTTGGGGTTGATTTTCTATTTGTATGCACCTTATGGTCCCTAGTTGAATCCTCAAAAGTTTCTTTGAGAGGTCTTTTTGGAGGAGAGAGTGCGAGATAGTTTTTCCTTAATCCTGATTCATGTACCGAATGATCTTGCTCCATCCTTAAAGTTGGATTCTTGCTTTCAGTATTAGAACGCTCCCCCTTGGAGGATAAGAGATCCGTTCGAGGGCTTATACCTGGTGGAGGTTCTTTACTCATTTGACGTACAGTGCCATCCAGGTCAACTGAAATTGAATATCCATATAAACTATTTATGACTAAACATAGGACAGAGCCCCATCCTTTTCTCCCTCATCATGCGAACTCAATTTACTCACCTGGTAATGTTTCAATTATGGACAAGGAGTTTGAGAAGCTATATGTCTGCACAACCAAAAAAAGAAAAAAGAAAGAAGAAGGCAAAATCAACTCTCTTTGTTCTAAAATCAATCCAGACTAAGAAACCTGTGAGCTGAAAATATTTTCAACCTGTGAATCCACACTGAGGAAGTCCCATACTTCGATGGAACTGGAAACAGTTGGGAGCAGCAGAAGTTTCTGAGGAAAGCAGAAACAGAAGCCAAATAAAAATAAAGACAACATTAGAGAAAAGAAATAAAAGCTACAGCAGACTAAAGTGAACAAGATCTTTTAGAGGATTATATACCAAAACCCAGTTTCCTGATTAATCTAAAACTTTTCTTGGCACCCCATGACATCCAAATAGCAGTGGAACTGGTGGTATTTGATTGATTTCAGGAACAAAAGACACTCCTTGGCAGAGATGAAAGTCCAAATACTATTAAAGAACTAAGATCAAGGTAAAGTGCAAAAGTATAACAATAATGAAAAGGGGAAAAATAGAGTGAGAATAACATTTCAACATTATTTAGATATAATAGTAAATGTGTATAACATGATGCACTTTGATCTAGAGAAGAAAGTAATATTGATTGGCTTAGAAAGGGACTTTCAGATGCCATCTGTTAAAGTATCACCTTCAAATACAAGTCAAGGTATTTGCACCGTTCTCGAATGACAGGAACATTCAGACTTGAAGAGAGGAAATGCTTGGGAGGTAAATGAAGATTGTACTCCCGAAACTCTTTAAGACACCAGTGTAGCTCCTCAAAATGTCGAAACCTGCAACTAGCAGCCAAAATTTAAATTTGATGCAAGAGACTCTTCAGATGACAATCTCTACGAAAAAGCGATCTTCAGAATGCCTATCAGCATAAAGTTCACATCACTCTACCTTCTTTTGATAGACCAACTATTATTGTTCATATCTGTAACAGATATGGAATAAACAGCAAAAGTTTTGGAGCCACATCTTACAATATTTGCACTCAGGACCTGCAACCGAAAAAAGGCTAATTCAGTAGACATCCAAGACCATTTGAGTTATCCAGAAAGTCAAGTAACATGGAAAAAAAGGATGGCAATCAAATCTATACCTCACTTCTTAATTTCAAAAAAGAATCAGCAATTACAGAACCATTTGCAGAATGAGGACCCATATTAAGATTTTCCAAAATGCTTCTCGACAAGGCAGATGATGATGCAGATGCAGTTGTGTCACTAGAAATTCTACCGAATATTTCTGTCACGGAGTCATCACTTAAACCATCCAGTTTCACATTTTCTTTGGAATTTAATATATCTTGCCCATCCCCCAGTGAGAAGCTGGTTCTTTGTATCTCTTGCCACACATGCCCTGTTTGGTTGCTTACTCTAGACCTTTTCCGCCCAGACAGTACTCTATTTAAGTGTTTAGAGCGGATATGTACTTTACCAGATTTTCCTTTTCTTCTCTTATGGCCTTCATTATTTTCAAGTGGATGATGAATGTGATTTACATTCCTTATATTTTTCCCATCCGACACTTGGGTGCCAGGAGAGTCAAGACCTGTCACAGTGCTGGGTTTTTCATCTTCAGTAGTGTAAGAACTACTGCTCTCTGATTCAAGGTCATCTGAGTTATGTTCATTTTCGTCTTGATACAAGTAATCTGGAGGATAACTTGGTCTGTTCAAAACACCCTGCGAGGAAGTATTGTCCTTCACATAATGCTTAGCTCCAATCTTGTTTTCTCTCTCACTCTCTTTCTGTTTAGCTTCCTTTGAGTGTCCCAGCAGTTTTGGTGCACCTACCAATAAACTCTTTTTGAGTGTATCAGATGCTAGATTGGCCTCTTCTTTCCGTTTATAGTTTCTGCCTTTTGCCCATATGTTGTCTAAATTTTCA